ATAGCAATACCTTCTGGTTGGTTATTGATTCTCATCTTAACTAAGATGAAGTGTTGTATTAAATCCAGACAGTCTAGATCTAGAGTCTGGTTATTTAACTGTGATATTCCACACGTAAAATGTCCCAGACACACAAACACACACTGATGGCCACAGACACTCTTGTTCATGCTGTCCCACATGGATCTCCCCACACTGAGAGCTGCTCTCTTGAAATGACAGTTCACCTTCTCATCTTAACTAAGATGAAGTGTTGTATTAAATCCAGACAGTCTAGATCTAGAGTCTGGTTATTTAACTGTGATATTCCACACGTAAAATGTCCCAGACACACAAACACACACTGATGGCCACAGACACTCTTGTTCATGCTGTCCCACATGGATCTCCCCACACTGAGAGCTGCTCTCTTGAAATGACAGTTCACCCTAAGAGCTGAGGACATGCCCTCAGCCACCAGGTCATACATGGTCAGCCACATGCCACCTATACCCTCAACACAGGCATAGCACATTATCTCTCTGTCACAGACCAAATCCCCAAGGAACACCAGGGCTTTGAGAGCTCTTACGCAGCATCTCTCCTTTGGAATCGTTCCAGCAAAACAACCCTGAAGGCCACAGCTGTGGGTTAGAAGGACCCTAAATTTCTTTCAATGGACAGTTGGGTGCCTGAGGCTCAGGACAGAGAGAGACCCACCAAATCACACAGCAGCTGAGCCATGCCTGAGTAGGCACTTTCGTCTGCACTCTGGCTTTGCCTTGGCTCTGGGCCCCTGGCATCCTGGCCTTTCTCTCTATGAAACCTCAGTGCCTGGGCCAGACTCAGATCCCAGAAAAGTCCGGGGGATCTTCCCTTTCCCCATGCTGCCCCTATTCAGCTGGGGCCCAGGAACAAAACAGAGGGAGGGAGGGGAGCCTCCCACATCCCATCTGACACCAGACCCCCCACTTAACTGGTAGCTGAGGCTGTTGCCCCTGTTGCCTGCCTCACATGCACATACACAGAAGAATGTACAACACAAGGACACATCCATGCACCCTGAGCACCCCATTTCCCTTCTCCCATCTCCCTCTTTTTTTTTTTTAGACAGATTCTCATGTAGTTCAAGCTGGCCTTAACTCACTATCCACTGGAAGATGACCCTGAACTTCTGATCTTCCTGCCTCCACCTCCCAAGTGCTGGGATCACAGGTGCCACCACACCCAGGTCTCTTCTTTTCTCTGAAGCCTTCTCCTTCTTCCCATCACTCTTTATTTAATGAAAGAATTGCACTGGAGCAACTCATACACAGTGAGTACAGGAACTGTTTTTTTTTTTTTTTTTTTTTTTTTTTTGTGTATAAGGGTTTTGCGTGGGTGGGGGTGTGGGTGTGGGGGTTTCACAGGGAGTACAGGAGGGGCCACCAGACCCGCCATGGGGGGGGGGGAAACCGAACCGCGGAGTGTGTGTGTGTGTGTGTGTGTGTACCAGAGAGATCAGAAGAGGGCACCAGAACTGCCATGTGGGTGCTGGAAACTGAACCCAGGTCCTCTACAAGAGCAGAAGCACTCTTAACCATTGAGCCATCATTCCCACCCCAGGAACTGTGTTCTAATCCCCGCCACCATCTTGTTACTAGAGCCCAGGCTCCCAGCTGCTTGGTCAACATTACCTCCAGTGTGATAGGATAATAAGGACCTTCCTCTAAGGATGCGCGACAGTTAAATTAGATAATTCAATTAGGTGCTTAGCAATGCGTCTGGCATGGAGCAGCCGCTCCTTAAATGAAGGCTTTAATAAGGTTGAGTGAAATACTTTGAAAATTTGGCAGGACTGCGTACAAAATAACTCTCCCAACTCCTGCCACATGAGGTTTAAGCAAGGAATTAGAAGCAATTTCCCAGTGAGAAAATTGAGGCTCAGTGTCAATGATAAAGCTCCAGTAAGGACTCAGATCCCCGGGTTTCAAAGCAACCCCATGCTGCTGGCAAATCTCCTTGTGGCTAGAAAATGCATTGCAAATGTGGGTACCTATGTGGGAGGGGGATGCTGCCTGGCCTGGAGCTGTGAGAGCTTTCAACCTTCCACTCAGAACTTCCAGAGATGTCCAGGGGTCCAGCCGAAGCTCACGTCCTCTATTTTCAGGTGATGTCCCTCCTCTGAGGAAAACCTGTGACTGGAGGAAGGGGCTACCCCTTCATCCCATCTGGCCGAAATGAACACCTCAGCCCCGCCTGCTGTCAGCCCCAACATCACCGTGTTGGCACCAGGAAAGGGTCCCTGGCAAGTGGCCTTCATCGGGATCACCACAGGCCTCCTGTCTCTGGCCACAGTGACAGGCAACCTGCTGGTACTCATCTCCTTCAAGGTCAACACAGAACTCAAGACAGTCAACAACTACTTCCTGCTGAGCCTGGCCTGTGCCGACCTCATCATTGGCACCTTCTCCATGAACCTCTATACCACTTACCTGCTCATGGGTCACTGGGCTTTAGGCACCCTGGCCTGTGACCTCTGGCTGGCCCTGGACTATGTGGCCAGCAATGCCTCTGTCATGAACCTGCTGCTCATCAGTTTTGACCGCTACTTCTCTGTGACACGGCCCCTGAGCTACCGAGCAAAGCGCACACCACGCAGGGCAGCTCTGATGATTGGCCTGGCCTGGCTGGTTTCCTTCGTCCTCTGGGCCCCAGCCATCCTCTTCTGGCAGTACCTAGTTGGGGAGCGGACAGTGCTGGCTGGGCAGTGCTATATCCAGTTCCTTTCCCAACCCATCATCACTTTTGGCACAGCCATGGCAGCCTTCTACCTCCCTGTTTCAGTCATGTGTACACTCTACTGGCGCATCTACCGGGAGACAGAGAACCGGGCCCGGGAGCTGGCAGCCCTACAGGGTTCAGAGACGCCAGGTAAAGGGGGCGGCAGCAGCAGCAGCTCAGAGAGGTCACAGCCCGGGGCTGAGGGCTCACCAGAGACACCTCCAGGCCGCTGCTGTCGCTGTTGCCGGGCCCCCAGGCTTCTGCAGGCCTACAGTTGGAAGGAGGAAGAGGAAGAGGATGAAGGCTCCATGGAGTCCCTCACATCCTCTGAGGGTGAGGAGCCCGGCTCAGAAGTAGTGATCAAGATGCCCATGGTAGACCCTGAGGCACAGGCACCCACCAAGCAGCCTCCCAAGACCTCCCCAAATACAGTGAAGAGGCCCACCAAGAAAGGGCGAGATAGAGCTGGCAAGAGCCAGAAACCGCGAGGGAAGGAACAGCTAGCCAAGCGAAAGACCTTCTCACTGGTCAAGGAGAAGAAGGCGGCTCGGACCCTGAGTGCCATCCTGCTGGCCTTCATCCTCACCTGGACACCATATAACATCATGGTGCTGGTGTCTACCTTCTGCAAGGACTGTGTTCCCGAGACCCTGTGGGAGCTGGGCTACTGGCTGTGCTATGTCAACAGCACCATCAACCCCATGTGCTATGCACTCTGCAACAAAGCCTTCCGGGACACCTTCCGCCTGCTGTTGCTCTGCCGCTGGGACAAGAGACGCTGGCGCAAGATCCCCAAGCGTCCTGGCTCTGTGCACCGCACCCCCTCCCGCCAATGCTGATGGCCCCCTCTCCTGCATCCTTCCACCCCAGACCCAGGGAGAGGCCGGTAGAAAGTGTGTACAGGCTGTGTCTTCAGCCCAGGGCCCTATTCAGGCCCTCCCTGGCTTCCCAGGCCCCTGGGTCACCTTCCTGGACGGCCCAGAGAGACCCTGCCAGCTTTCCAAACTCCACTATTCCCAGACAGGGAGTGAAACCTGGGGAACTGGTTTTTCTGTTCCCTGCTGTGTGGGAATGGGCTATTCACCAGGAAGAAGGCTCGGCTTGGGAGGAGGATCCCGGCTTTGGACTCCTTGTTTGCCTTCATACAGGAAGTCAGGAGCCAGCAGGGCGGGCCAGGAGTTTAACAGTGCAGTCTTCCTTGGCCCAACAGGAGGCCTGAATTACAGTGGGATATAGTGCCTCCCGCTCAGGGCTACAGACCTGACTTGACACCAAGCACAGAGAAAGAAAAGTTGGGGGCCCAGGGAGCTGGTGACCCCTGGCTGGAGATCCCCTCCTGGCATAGGCAGAGCTCAGCCAGGTAGGCCCTAGGCACACTCTCCAGGACTGTCCAGCCTCCCTCTGAATGTTCCCAGGTCATCCCTAGGTGGGTCACCTTCAAGGCAAACGTCCCATCATCAGGACAGCGATACCAGAGGGGATCAGCATGGCTAGTCACACGTCAACTCCCAAGGCAGCAACAGGATGGGAAGCCAGGTGTCCTAACTGTCCTACTACACCATTTTCCTTGGGGGAGGGAGGGATAAGGTGCCTGCAATCTAGCCCCGCACCCATCCTCCTTTCCCTGATCCCAGAGTAACCTTGGTCCCTTCCTCCTGGCTCACAGCCATCACCTGGATGAATCTGCTCTGGGCAGATCTAGCCAGGCCTCCTGCATGCCAGCCAACCTCCAGCCTTGCCAGTCCCACAGAGGCCCGGCCCACAGAGACCTGGCCCCGCCAGCAGGTTCTCTTCCGTGAACTCTCCAATCCAACCCATGCATGGCATCCCAGCCACCCCATCTCCAGGCTAGCCTGGTCCCAAATGTTTTTTCCTCCCATCCTCATGTTGAGTCTGTGAATAAAAGCCACATAACCAGCAGGTACTAAGGGGACTTCCTGAGTTGGCTCAAGGCCTGGGCCCCAAGGCCAGGACAAGATGGGGCAAGGAGGGCCCAAGCACTGTGGAAACGTGGGCTGTAACCCTGACAGTGAATCAAGAAGGGACAGTACTGAATGGCTAGAGCTACTAAAACCTGTAGGCCCCAGAACCCTGGGATCCATGGCTCAGGTGAGTGGGGCTAAAACAGGCAGGCCTGACCTCAGGCAGACCTGATCCCTGGAAGTAGGACAGCTGGGCAAAGCTGCCCCTGTGGATTTCATACAAGGCTGCTCTGGGGCCTTGTCATACCCATGGGGAACAGAACTCCTCCAAACTCCCATTTGTAAATGGGGAAACTAAGGCCCAGAGAGACCCAGGAGGATTGCTCAGGGCAACCCCATAAAGCAAGATCCAGGTTTCCAAGTAGTTCACAACCTCCTGATCCCCACACTGTGGAGATGACAGGCCTGGAACACTAAGCCAAAGCACTATGTCAGAGTAACCTTCAAGCCACATTATGAAGCATATCAGTAAGGGGGTCCCCAAAAATCCAAAGCAAAGGAACCTAAAGAGATCAATCCATAGTCTTGAGCAGTGACTATCAAAGTGGAGTAGTGGCTAGGTGTTCTCAAGACCACTCTTTTTCAGACAGGGTCTCCCTGTAGCCCAAGCTGGCCTGGAACTCACTATGTAGACCAGGCTGGTCTTGAACTCACAGAGAACCGCCTGCCTCTGCCTCCCGAGTGCTGGGCCTAAAGGCATGCACCACCACGCCAGGCCCCAAGACCATTCTAATTTCAGTGGTTACTAGAAGAATGTATAGATGCTACAAAGCCACTAGAGACACTGTTACAGTAGATTACCGTGAAAGAATTAGAGGAAAACAGCAATGGAAGAAGGTGCACAGGGAAGAGTCAAAGAGAGGCTCAGCTCAAGGCTCCAGTTCTCTCCAAGGAAGTCAAACAATACTCCCAGCTGTGATGTAGGACAACCTAACGTACACTGCCAGTCAGAAAAGCTCACCAGAACCTCGATATCCAGTATTTATACTAAAGATTGGGCACATCAGTGGGGCTGACTGACCACATGGCTCACCTCAGTTAGTCCCCAGCTCCAGAGGTTAAACTGATAGAATGCAGCCCAAGGCCTCTACCATAAATCACATTTTTAATATAGATTATTTGGTGTAGTCCAAGGCACACAAATCCACTACCCCTGGAAGGTTTTCTTCCAGGCAGGATATTCCTAAGGTTTAGCATGATACTCAGGAACCAAATGAAGCAAGACTTTTCTTTGAAACTCAAAGCACGTGGAGAACCCAGACCTCATGAGTTAACAATAAGCATCAGTATCATCCGGGAACTCACATAGGTAAATTCCTGGGGTCACCATAGATTTACTAAAATAGAAACTCTGAGGATGGAAATCAGAAATTGTTTTAACCATTGCCCTCCAAGTGAGTCTGATGCCGGCTCAAGTTTGAGGAAAGACAGGGGGCTAGAGGGCTGAGGTTCTAGGTGGGACTAGATCCTTGCAGAGGGGGGAGTGGGATTCACTCTACACAGGTACCTGGACTCCCAAGAGCTTTTGGACCTTGAGAATTTGAGGTTTTAGCAGAAGCTGCTGGTATACCTAATCTACCTTCACTGTGAATGAGGTGTCTCAGCCAGATGGCCTTCACATCCCCCAAAAGCCTTAGAAAGGAATCTTCCAACACTGTGGGCAAGGATGGCCCACTAGAGAGGTGGACAAGGACAAGCTGGCCAGAAGTGGCAGGAAATACTACACTGTAGGAGTGACTCACGGACACAAACCCCGGACCACCACCACCGCTCCCTAGATTGACAGCTGAGGCCCTATGAGGGCTGTTCCCTTGACACTGCCCCCTCAGGACCCTAAGCCCCCTTCAGAGATAAATGTCCTGCCTTGTGTCAAAGATACAGAGATTGAGGTGGAAGGCCTGGCAGTGCTGGAGAAGGGAAACTTTGAGGTCAATGGGCCGGGCCTCTACTGAAGACCAGGAAGGGGCGGGGCAAAACTAGCATCAGATCAGTAACCTGGCCAACAGCTCACACTTGTCCATTGTCTCAGGAACCTCATTATGGTGAAGTGCCTACCATGTCCCCCACCAAAAAATCTTAGGTATGTCTTCAGTGCTCAGTGTCATCTCTAGAAGGAGAGCAAGCCCCTTGATGAGAGAGACAGTGGGGAAAGCTCAGTGGCTGTAGAATCAGTGCTACCATGGGAGAGGCGGCCACAAGAAAAGTCCAGAAACCAGGTCTACTTTCTGCCCTAGCTCTTTTCCTAGACCTCTATCCTCGCTTTAGAAAACCCAGCAACCCATTCCCCTGGCCCAGGGAGAAGAAACTCACATCCTAATATGATTTTGTTGAAAGAGTATCCAGAAGTCAGGCGTGGTGGCAAATGCCTTTAATCCCAGCACTCAGGAGGCAAAGGCAGGTGGATCTCTGTGAGTTCCAGGCCAGCCTGGTCTACATAGTGAGTTCCAGCCAGCTAGGGCTACAGGGAGATCCTGTTTCAAAAAAAAAAAAGGAAAGAGTATCCAGGAGATCCAGGAGCCAAGAGTACACCTGGGCAGGAAGGGGCATAAGGTCCAGATGGAATTGGAAAATGGGCCCTACAGGCCTCTGAAGCAAGATTCCTGCAGGCCCAGAATGGAGGAATGACATGAACGGGAAGGGAGAAGGTGGTCGCATGGGCATTGGTCCACCCCAAACACCCACTCCTGCCCTGAGGGAGCCTCTGTGCCCCAGAATGAAGGCCTTTTGGTAGAAGCAGGAAGAGAATAAGGTTGCTTTACAAATACCACCTCTTCCCCTACCAATACCACTAGGTTGGAACCAACCTAAAGAGGAACAGGTTAAGAGCCTCACCCCACCTCCATTCCCACCGTGTCACTTTGGCGCCACCTTCTGGGAGTCAAGGATATAACCTTGTCAAGAAACCTAACTTCCTTAGACCTGCATTGGACCCGGTTCCCAAATAACTGGACCACAACATACATGATAGAATAGGTGATCTTGGTCACCCCAGCAACAATCCCCAAACTTCATCAGGAATCCAAGGCCACAGAAGGTTCACATGGCCCTTACCATAAACATGCAGAAACAGGCTCCTCCTCTCTATGCCAGCCTCACCATAGACCATGGATGAGAGGAGCCTTGGCATTTGGGGATAGCTCCAACACGGTCTCCAAAACAACAAAGAGGAAGAAACAAGCCCTTGACCCAAAGCCTTCAGGTCCATCCTCTGGTGAGCCTCCCTAGGCCTGTAGAATCTTTGATTTTGTTCTTAGGAACCTAGCTCAGATTTTACAGGACTCACACTGGCCCCACCTGGAAATTCAGTTTGGTGCCTGCTCACCTTTAGAGCAAGAACTGTTTTTGAACACCCAACTTCCCCTGCCAGCTTTGGGCTCTAAAGGGCTTAAGGTTATTGCTTCTGATGTCTGTTTTTGCAACAAACTACAGAATTTCAACAATTTATCACATTAGAAAAGGCCCAGAGTTCTACTTCTTCCTTCCTAGGCCCTGAGTTCCACCCTCCCACTCAGTATTTCTGCCTGCCTGAAAACACCATTCACACAGTTGCTCAATCCAGAAAGCTGGAAGTCAGCCTAGACTCCTTTGCACTCCCTGTACCCAGTCTACCTCCAAACAGTTCTCAAATTAATCCTGTTTTCTCCATCCCACTGCTAGTACGGCACTGCGGCACTCTTGCCTGAAGTACCGAAGCAATTCTTTAATTCCAAAGTTATAGAACTTTTTCCATAAAAGACCAGAGAGCACAAGCCAGGCGTGGTGGCACACACCTTTAATCCCAGCATTCGGGAGGCAGAAGCAGGCGGGTCTCTGTGAGTTCGAGGCCAGCCTGGTCTACATAGTGAGTTCCAGGATAGCTGGGGCTACAGGGAGACCCTGTCTCAAAGAAAAAAAAAAAAAAAAAAGACCAGAGAGCAAATGTTTTTAGATTCTGCAAGCCAAGAGACACAACCAGGTACACTACATCAGTGCTACTATAGTATACAGTCTGCTACTGCAATCAAAGTCAGCATTGATAAAATAAGGATGGCTGTGTTCCAATACAACTTTATTTCAATCTAACAGAATTTTCATGTGTCACAAAATATTATTCCTTTGATCTATTTTTCAAGCCTTTTAAAAATGCAGTACCATGCATGGAGTCAGGTGGTACACACATTTAATCCCAGCACTTTCTCCCAGCAGAGGCAGGTGGAGCTCTGTGAGCTGAAGGCCAGCCTGGTCTATATAGCAAGGTACACGCCAGCCAGGGTTACATAGTGAGACCCTGTCTCAAAAGAAAGAAATGCAATATAGTGCTGGGCTAATCCAGCATTCAGGAGGTAGAAGCAAGAGAATCAGGAGGATCAAGAGTTCAAGGCCAAAAAAAAAAAAAAAAACAGCTGCCTGTCTCTACCTTCCCAGGGCTGAGATTACAGGTACATGCCACTGCTGCACTGTATTTTTATGTGGGACCTGGGAATTGGAACTCAGTTCCTCATACTTGTGTGGCAAGCTGTCTCCCAAGCCCAAACAGTTATTACCATATGGCATTTTTGCTTCACTGGGCACCGGAAAGCAATCAGGAAGTCCATCAACTTCGTTAGCATTTTTCCTCTTACATAAGAACAAACTTTCTGAGTCTTGAAATCCCCTCAAGACAGGTCAGCATCCTTGACTCACCAAAGCTGAATGGTTTAGGTGAGGGAACAGCAACACTCTACCCTACTGACCTCAAAGCTTGTGCTTCCCTCCTCTTCACCATGGCTGCCGCCCTGACTGGGTGGTCCATTCTACTCAGCATCACCAGCGAGCTCTTCAGCTTCTGCGGCCCTTATCCTTAACTCCATGTTAGCCACACAGGGTCTTCCACAGCTCCTTCTTCAGTGGCTGAAACCCAACATCTTCCATTCTCACTTCCGTACCTCCTTGCCTCTCATCTTCCAAATCAGTCCTTCA